CAGTGACTGCCCCCCCCGGAGTTCAGCAGCAATTTCAATATTATTTCAAGTCGCTGATAAATTTCCAGGCCTGGGTATAGAAAACGTTTCTAAAAAATGAGGGGCATGCAGCAAAGTAGAGGAGAGGGGAGAGAGAAGCAGAGAAGACTCCGAATACTAAGGACAAATAGTTGGCTGTAGTACACACATAAAGGAAGTGCTGTGACTAAATCTGCCAGCATGCTTTGAATACACAACAGCCTCTTCCATCAGAAAATAAGCCCCCCCCGCACCCCACCCCTTCAGCATCCCCGTTCTGCAGCCTTCCCTCTGCCTCCAGTCCCTATGCAAGGACGTATCTATTAACATGCATGGCTGCACTCACGCTCCTTCTCTTGCTCACAGGATTATATAGAGAACACACTAACACACAGACAGGGAGAGAGAGATGGCAAGGGGGGACAGAGAGAGAGAGAGGTGGGCAGGCACTAAGAGGACTGTCACATATTGACTCTCCAAGCACTAGCCGTTTGTCAGTATTTCGCTTCAGTTCCCAAAGCAATGCACTGAGAGCCCACGCGCCACTCTGATTACCTGACAACGCGTTTTATTGCTCAATGCTGCAAAAACAAGGTGACAGGAACCCAATCTCTATGAAACACAGTGCTGCCATGCCTTACGCCAAAATAACATTAGCCTACAAACAAAATCAAAGGTGCTCTCACTGAGAGCCACTTCATTTCCATGGAAAAAGCGACCAAACGCTGTCTTCAGTTGTCATCTTTCGCTTTCAATCGCAGTGCTGGCTGGTACTGATTAAAGACAGTATCATGGTATTTTCAAAATATTTTATAGTATCACAGTATCAGTATCATCATCCCTATCATGCTTCCTTTTCTATGCTAAAATGTCTTAAAATCTGACATCATTTCTGTTCATTTACATTCTGTTCAAATGACATACATTTCAGTTTGTTTTTTATCTGTTAACTCCGCCCTAAGCTAAAAATCAATATTGTTTTGTGACACCAGTACCAGTATACCAGAAAAGATGATATATCACACAGCTCAGTTTCATCTCCCCTTTTATTTTCTCTCTCTTCAAGGAAGGCTGAATTGAGAGAAATACTCCATGAGTTAAAAAAAAAAGACCGAGCTGAATCACGGGTGTCCTTAGGGGACCCTGCCTAACTCACTCCTGCAGCTGACCTTTATAATAAAAAAACCCACTGCATTCAGACTCTTCCCTTCCCCCCATATTCCTGACACCCCCTCCCCACTTCACCCCCCCCACACACCCAACTAAGTGAATTACTGGTCTTGTCCGCTTGTTTTGACCTTCAGCGTGGCCACTGACCTCTCCTGACCGGACAAACCAATAAACATTAGAGACGGGGTAGAGAAAGCAGATTTTGTCAGGATAAGAAGTAAATGTTGTCTGCTTATAGTACAACAGGATTAGATCCATCCATAGCCAGATTAATGCAATTCCAGAACGTGACTAAAAAGGAGTGCTTGTTCTTCCTTTGCGTAAGATGAAAATGAAGCAGTTATGGAAAAAAAAACGCATTCAGAAGAAAACCAGACTAGTTTGTTTCTTCACCCTCTCTCAGACTCAAGGCAGACTGTCGCCACCTAGAGGAGACTTTTATTGCCGCGTTCTCCTAACCACTGCATCAACAGCACCCAGGCCTGCCTCCACTCATCTCAGACACATTTCCACGCTCGGAAGCTGGCACATGATAAGAACATGGTCTATGGTTTATTACATTTGTCACGTAACACACAGCAACCCATTAAGACCAAGTGGGACTATGTAATTCATTTTCATAACCCGTGGTTTTAAAATGGATGGCAAAAAAAAAACAAACTCCCAATAGATAATCCCCTCTCGGCTTTAATTCAGGCTTTAGAGCCATCTCAGACTGTGAATAGCACATGGGAGAGGATCGCCAATCACTTTCAAGGCGAAGAGAAGAAAAGAAAAGGGGGGGAAGGCGAAACGCTTTCGAATGAATTAGAGAAATCCCTCGTTCTCGGCGTGGAGGGATAGCACGGCTGATTCTCTTTAACCTTGATTCGCTGGTAAGTAATACGCCTGGATGCCCACGGCGCAATTAAGCATCATTACTCCTCTTCCATCCCGTTATCCTGGAGCTCCTCCTCAGCTGGACGAATTACATGCTATTTTGGCTCCTCTGAGAGCTAAAGCCACTGCCACCGTTGCTGTCCCCCCCACAACCCTTCCCACGTCACTTATTCCACACGAGTTCCACTATCTATGGCCAGCTGTTACGAAACCCTGAACCTCCTGCTATAAAATATCATTAAAGAGCCTCCAGGCCCTTGCTGGCATGCTGTCGCTGCCGCCGCCAAGGCTGATGGGAACTGCTTAAGGTGCCCTTGTGCAGCTGTGTTGCGAGCTAAGGGACTATGTGTGTAGGGTTTTATTTATTTATTTGTTTGGTTTATTTATTTATTTCAGTTGTTCCCTCTGCCCCCAGCACTAATGACAGAAGCGTGGAGGGCACCCCCCTCACGGATCGATTCAGGTAGGAGGAGGGGTGGTTCAGGTTTTGTTTTCTGACATTTTTCCCATAACTCCACTGCTCGGATTCATATCACCCTCTCTCTCTTTCTGCCAGGGTCTGATTGTTTTACGGCTTCAGTAACAGTATCCCTTGCTCTGCCTCTCGCCACCATTTTGGTGTAAATAATAGAAGGCAGGCAGTTTGATGTATGGAGGAAGCTCTACCATGGTACAGTGCGCACACACACACACACACACACACACAAATATGACAAGTGTGCATGCATGTATGACTGTTGATTGTTTTCTGCAGCACAGTGAAGGTGTGTGAGTGTGGTATGTGTGCATGAGAGAGAGACCTTTCAAGCTTGTTTGTTTTTTGCAGAGTGAGAGAGCGAGAGATGATATGCAGGGGGTTGGTGGTATTTCATCAGTGTTGTATTGAAGCTCACTCAGGCATTCACATTTATTCTGCTGGCTTATTATAGGTCCCATCATAACGGCTCACACACTGACCCATGACCTGCAGACTGAACACAATGATAGAGTGGAACACACACACACACACACAGCACCCCTCTTTCACTACACATACACAAAAACATACAGCACTGTGCAAAATCAGAAACCACCCTTTATTTATTTAAATTCTAGTCAGAACGGCCATTAAGTGCAAGCTATTCATTTTTCAGATATTCAGATTTTTGTTAGAAGACTAGACACAAGATAATCAGTTTCATAAGTGACAAAATCTGGAGTTAAAAAAGGAAGTAAAATACACAGTATTTTCTGAGTAAAAAATCCACAGGCTTTTCTGTCCATCCTTCAGACTGTGAGATGACCTTATAGGTCTGAAAGGATGTGTAGCTATCAAGGAACCATTACTGAGAATAGGCCACCCCAGAGCCCAGACCTCAACATCACTGGATGTGTTTGGACTGGGAGAAGCAGAAAATTCAACTTCTAAGACTGAAGGTAAGCTGTTAAGGCTTCTGTGTACTTCTCTGTTGAAAAATGCAGAAGTTTTTTGCTACTGAAAAATGAGTAACCTCTACTTAATGGCCATTTTGACTGTAAATTAAATAAATGAAGAGTGGTCTCAGGCTTTTGCACAGTACTGTGCAAGCCGTAAGGTCAACACATATTAAAGTGTGCTTGGCTGTTTTCCAGCATTCTAAACAGACATGGTAAAACACCCACATACATTAAAAGGCACTGAATTACTCCAGTAATCACCCATTCAGTCACACTCATGAACACACACTCCCATTAATAACTCCTCCACAGACAGGCACACATGTAGACTTGCACGCCTGTGTAAGAAGAATAAGCCTAACTTTAAATATTTCCACCACAAACAAAACCTCAACACATATCCTGCATATACAGTGTCTATGAACTGTAGCTACATCGACATGCAGTAACGAAACCTCATACACCACAAAAGACACTAGAAAACGGATTCTCAGGTGAGACCTCTCACAAATGCTACAGAGAAGCATGCATTAATAATGAAGAGAAAGCAGAGAGCGACAGCTAAATTACTTTTAGCTAGCTGTAATCTCACAAGGCTGCATACCTACACCTGGTGTAGCTGTGTTTAAAATGGGGACTTTAGCCTTGTCTGACACGACAGATTTCAAATGCCTTTAAACTGGCTTAGCAGCAGCAGAGACACAGGAGTTGTCAGTGGCTTAGCCAAATCGCTGCACACAAAGACGCATTAGCAAGGAATGAAGAAATCCAGCAAAGCTCTTTCTTTGCCTCCATGAAAGGCATAAATCGGAAGACTATTGTGGTGCCGTTGTTGACTACAGCAATAGTGGCACGAGCTTCTAAGCTGCCGAGTTCTGAGAAATCCATGAACGCTGTCAGTTACTGTAATAAAAAAAATGTCTTGAGGTGCAAAATAAAATGTAAACATGCAGCTGTTTGACTTCTATTCGGCGCTAAAAATAACACAAAACTTTAAAGTATTAAAAGAAAATGTCAAATCAGCCACCAAGTTATGGAAAGACAAAACACAGGACGTTAATACTGATCCAACCCCTATTCATTTGCCATGACTGATGGAGCACACTTCATGAACAAAGGCAGTATGGGATTAAGGCCTGTTTGTGTATCAGAACTGCCTCACTTCCACCACCGAGTGCCTTCAAACAATACCCCATAACAGGGTAATGTTCCATGCTCGATTTACACAAAATGCATTTCTAGAAATAATATGGGCAAAGTCAGATGTCAAAGACTGACAGAGGTGTGCTCTTCAATACATGAAGGGGGGTGACTCGTGTTACATATCACCACAGCCTGTGCTACCCCTTCCTCCCTCCCCCTACCCTCCCTTCTTCTCACACCAGCTGCTCTGCATACACACACTCATTCACCTAGAGAGAGCAACATTCCAGGAGCAATAGACAGACCGAGAGAGAGAAAAAGGAGAGAAAGAAAATGTGGTCACATGAACAAGGAACACAAACTGTCTTCCCTACCTGAATTATCGACATCCTGTTAACCGGCGTCTCCGTAGTGCTAGTCACAGGCCCCGTGAAGCTGGTGTGACAGCCAACATGTCCTTGAGGGACGCTGAGGTTGTTGGCGCTGGGTTTGAGGTACATGACCTCAGACCTGGGTGAGCTGAGGGGAAGGCGTGTCTGGTAGTCAAAGTACATGGGCGAGGTGGCCAACGAGGGGCTGCTGACCACATTCATCACGTTCATGGTGTCGCGCTCCTCCACCTCGCTCTGCACCAGCATGATGTCGTTCTTGTTGATCTTCTTCTTCTTGCTCTTGCCCAGCTGTGGGTGCGAATACTCAGCAATGCGGCAGTTGTAGGTGCGGATCTCCTTGTTCTCCCTCTTGCACTTCACAGCAATGGCGATCATGGCGGCAAGCAGCATGACTGAGATGATGCTGAGTGTGACGATCAGCGGCAGAGACATGTCCCAGCTGCGCTGCTCAGCGTTGATCCGTGGCTCGCCCTCCGGCAGAGGGCCCGAGTAGGCCTTCACCACAAGCTTGGCCATGGCAGAGAGCGTGGGCTTGCCGTGGTCTGTCACTTTGATGATGAGTTCCACCACAGGCGACACTTCCTCCCACAGCGGCTGAGCCGTCCGCACCTCGCCGGTCACCGAGTCTATCTCAAACAGGTGTTCCTCATTGCCATCCGAGATCTCGTAGGTGAGACGGCCGCTTTCGCCAAAGTCATTGTCCACGGCTCTCACCGTGGTGATGATGTGGCCCACACCCACGTTCCGTGGGACATGGATCTCTGCCGTGTCATTCTGCAGCAGTGGCAGGACGATGACAGGGATGTTGTCGTTGACATCCAGCACACTCACACGCACTGTGGTGTTGCTCTCCAGGTGAGGGTTACCTGAATCCTTTGCTTGGACTTTAAAATCAAAATATTTGGTCTGCTCATAGTTGAAACTTCTCAGGGCATAAATGGCTCCGTCAGTTGGTTTAATGTTGACGTACGTGGTTATGGACTCCTCACTCACATTAGAAGGAAGCAGCGAATAGGAGACAGTGCCATTTTGGCCCAAATCTGGGTCATGGGCCAAAACTGATCCTAAGTATTCCCCTGGGATGTTGTTCTCTGGCACCTGAAGGAGGTACACCATTTTTGTGAAGCGGGGCGCGTTATCATTCTCGTCTAAAATCTTGACTGTGAAAGACTTGGTAGAGTTTAGTGGAGGGTTACCATTGTCTTTGGCCACAATGGTAATGTTGTATTCATCCTTTACCTCTCTATCTAGCGGTCTGTCTGTGACCACTGTGTAAAAGTTATCAGAATTCTCCTCCAGCCTGAAAGGGACGTTGCCTAAGATCCTACACTGAAGCTGCCCATTGCGGCCCGAGTCCTTGTCTGTGACTCGCACCAGAGCAATAACAGTCCCTGGGGTTGCTGCTTCACTAACTGCCCCCTGCCGCACCGCCACAAAGCCTATTGATGGCCAGTTGTCATTCCTATCAAGCACCTTAACAGTGACTTTACAATGGCCAGGAATTGGGTTTGGACCTTGATCCTTTGCCTGCACATCAATCTCTATAATTGGGTTTTCCTCGTAGTCGATTTTTCCCTGAATTTTTATGACACCCGTTCTGGGGTCTATTGAGAACAACTCTTTGATCCTGTCTGGGACATAGCAGCTGAAAGCATAGGTAACCTGCCCATTGCTTCCCTCATCAGGGTCAGTCGCATTTAAATCTATCAATACTGTACCAGGTGGAGAGTTCTCTGGGATCTCCACGACATAAGAGGGCTGTTCAAACACGGGGCTATTGTCATTTGAATCAGTTACCTTCACATTAATCTGCATTGTGCCTGACTTGGGATATTCTCCTCCATCTGTGGCAGTGATGATAAGGGTATGGTGGCTGCGTTCCTCTCTGTCTAAGGACCTCTGAACAACTAACTCAGGGAATTTAGTACCATCTCCTCTGGATTTCACATCCAAAGAAAATATGCTGTAGTCATCTCGTGTGATTTGATATGTTTTAAGGCCGTTTTCCCGAGTGTCGGGATCGTACGCGGCAGCAAGGGGGAAACGGGTGCCTGGGGCCGCATTCTCGGAAATGTCAATATCAATCTGGTCCGAAGGGAAGCTGGGTGCGTTGTCATTGATGTCCTGTATCTCCACCTTAATCATGCAGATTTCCTTGTCATTGGCGAACACCTCCATCGAGAGCTGGCACCTGGGGTTCCGCTTGCAAAGTGTTTCCCTGTCAATCCTCTGCTTGGTGTAAAGCAGCCCGCTCTCAGGGTCCACGTCAATGAGGTGCGGCGCCGAGTTCTCCAGCACCCTGAAGTTGGACTTTTTGCCCTGCTCCCCGAGCTCAAGCCCCGCATCCTTGGCAATGTTCCCAATCACGCCCTGGATCTTCTCCTCCGGTATGGAGTAGTTCAGGTTTTTCAACGTCAGGGCTTGCGCCCATAAGAGCAGGAAAGGGAAAATGGAGTGATACATCCCTTTCAGTGAGGGTGCCTCGGTCTCCAATGCGTCTTACGCTTCAGACCTGTTGATCAGCCCAGCAATCTCAAAATTTATGCATTCAATTCCAGTCCCAATCATGGTGAAAACACGGCTAAAGTCATCGTGAGGTCTGTTCCCTCGAGCAGTCTTTTCTCTCCACGATGCTCCTCTTTTTTTATCCTGAGTTTTGACAACACACGCTGCGGCTCAGCATCTAATTGCTATTCTGCTGAATGCCTGGGCGCATTGGACACACAACCACGACCAAACAGCCTTTCTGTGGCCTTTCGTCTGAAACACACACAAAAAGAAATAGACAAAATATCGTTTTAGCAGCAAAGCACAGAGTACCTGTATGCGTTATCTAAATTAGAGTATTTTAACCTTTCTGAACCCAAATGGAATAAGAGAAGACACCTTCTATCTTCACGTATGTGATTTTTTTTCTATAATAAAACGCACATCAAATCCGTGATTCCTCATTCTTGGACGTACGACGTGGACAGCATGTCAATAATCTAACCTTGAAAGGCGAAATCCAGCTTCATAGAGCTGTTTCTCATGTAGGGGGAAAAAGCTAACGTGTCAAGACTAAAACATGTGGCATGACTTAACTACAGCAATACAGCCGTAAATAATTCAACTACTTACAGATATAAGTGGTTTATTAGCAGTAACGAGTAATTATGCCTTTTTCCCTGTTAAAACAGCAGCTAAACTGGTGCTACGTCCATAGCTAGCCGTGCTGAGGTAACACTATGAATACAAATGCGTTACAAAATGAGTCCCTCAAACGAGCTAGGCTAACAAATCACCTCAGTTCAAAAAAAAATTAACGGGCAGCTAGGCTATTCAACACGTAGAGTCCGAAAAACAGTCACCAAAAAAAATCCACTCATGTTTCTGTCACCCCTACCAGCGCCAAACGGCTGGAAAGCTGGGGGAAAATTCAACAGCCAAGTCCCCTCTCTGTGACATTCCGTCTCTCACGTTTGCCTGAACGACGGGTGGATGAGAAAAAGACGGCACTTACCCCGCAGCCTGCCGTCCGCTCCAAAAACGCCGAGAGCCGCGTCAAAGCCGGTTTACATCCTTTGCGCGAGAGGCGCGAGCCCCGGTGCGCCCCACGGCGTGTGGAAGTAAAGTGCTCCGCAAAGAAAGTCCGCCGGAGAAGCGAAGGAGACGAGCCCTTCCCCGCGTCGCGCTGATCAAAATGCGGGGACTCGCCTCCGCTCGGTGCGGCATGCAGCGAGAGCGAGGAGTCACCGGGCTCCTCTGGACGAATCTCTCTCTCCCTCTCGCTCTCTCTCACTCTCTCTCTCTTCCTCCTTTTTTACGAGCGCCGCGTAGCCCCGCGCACGGAATATAGATCCACGGAGGATAGCAGTCCTCTGGCTTGCTGCGCTGATGTCGGGGGAGACATCCCCGTGTCACTCGCGTCCTCGCTCCCCCAACAGGCTACGTCCACACGAAATATGTTTAAATGAACATATGAAGAAGAAACAAGGGGAAGCCACCGGTTGTGCTCGTGGACACCGTCACAAAGTGTTGCCTCTGAAAGGACTGCACTCTTCTCTCTCTCTTGTCAGTCACCGTTGACAACCGCGCGCGCTCACGCCTTCTCGCTCGCCTTTGCCCACTCCATCTCTCCAACGTCTCTCTCTGACTAACTCACTCTTTCATAGTGCATTAAACATTGTTACCGATCTGCCGCCAGCCAATGAGAGACGGAGGGGGGCGCGGCCTGCGAGTTTTCCACCAATAGGCTCCTCCGCTCGGCCGTTTAAAGGCGTAGTTTGCAGAACGTAATCTGAGTTTCGAAAACTCGCGGCGTGGTTTGAAATCCTAACGTCGGTTTCCGTTACAGCGACCGCTTTCTGAAAAATGTCACAGAAAAATGCCTCCTAAAATGGGCAGGACGACGCTGAGCGTGTTTACCTGTGAGAGGAATCCACCCGCTGTATTAACCGCCGCTGCTGTGGTGTCCAGCGAGTGAGTGAGACTGGAGTCTGTGGGTTTCAGTGAGAGTAGCTCATTATTACAGTCAAACGAGGCTTGGTTTATTTCCAGCAGTTTCCACGACAAGATGGAAGCCTGCATGAAAACGTCAATTACAGCTTTTATTAGGTCCAGGGATCAGCACGCTCTTAAAAAGTGGATTTTCAAGGGTTCTTAAACCGTGACAAGTTAAATAAATTGTTCTTCGCATGGTTAAATGGTTCTTCTCTGTGATGGAAAACCTGTCGTATAAAACAATGGTTCTATATAGCACCAAAAAAGAGTTCTGCTATTGGTACAAGTCATAAAACATTTTTCCAGTACTATACAGAACACTTTCTGCTAATATGAGTGATAGCTTACAACTTAGCTTGCTAGCAGCATGTGTTGTATGTAGTTCACCTATACGCGTTATAAAGTAAAAAAAAATGTTGGCTGAATTATTAATTTATTTATTGGCCATATATTATTGCTATTATATCATAACAGAACACCTTCACGCCCCTTAAGTATTACCCCATCTTTTTTCATGTCATATCTCATGAATTTATCCTAATAAATACATACATTCATAAACAAGACTACCATGTTAGTTTGTGCATGGTGAATGTGACATTTCAGGATGTGAGTCCATGTGCTCAAGCACTCATTTGGCCAAATATGTCCAAGCCTGAATGAAGGCACAAGGGCTCCAACTGTTGCCTCTGAGCTGGATGGACCAGGACCTGGAGCAGTAGTAGTCAAAGGCAGCGTAATCCATTCAGCTCATCATTGCCCTCTAGTGGACACTTTTTCCAGTCCCCAGTCTGCAGCACTCGCCATGCTCCTCTCGAGCTGTGGGAGCTGTTGTGTTGAAAGTGCTGTAGACTAGCAGGTGTAATAATAAGTGTATATATCCGTTCACCCGTAAGATTACATATCTCTTCTGGACTCAGAGAAACTGTGGTCTAAAAACGACACTCTCCACAGATCCCGCTCTTCTTCTTCTTTCATCGTGGAGTCTTTGCTGAATAAGCACTCCGGGGAGCGCCCCAGCCTGAACGAGCTGGTGCGAAAACAAGCTCGAACCCCAAAGAGATCAGTTAAAGACACATCATATCCTCCCCCGCTGATCTGTTGTCAGCCGCCGTTCTGCGGTCCTGCGGCCCGTCTCAGTAAAGCGCTCTACAACGCTGATGCCGGCTGTGTTCTAATGAACCAGTACAAGCCTGGTAGCTGAAGAAGAAGAAGCGGAGGACCGGAGGAGTCATCAGGCAGCGGAGGAATTGGACAAGAGCGCCGGAGCTCATTGTGTATTCCTGTGCACCACGTTTTAATATTCCTCAGCCGCTTTTGCCTTTGTCATATCATTACAAGGCTGTCTCTTTAATGCGGGCCGTTTGAAGCTCCTTAGTCTCTAATGCCCTTTGATTATGCGGAGATGGAGGCGTATTTGATAGTGCCTCACCAGTAATGCTTACCGCTAGGGCTTAACTTATGCGTCCTTGACGCGTGGATTGACCTTTGACCTCTGCTGGACGAGCAGGAATGACAGAGGTGACTGTGTTGTGTCATTTGCTCCAGATCACCAAATAAATGAATTAATTGATAAGAATGTATAAGAGTGCGAGGTATGAGATGTTTTGGGCTGTGCACTGTAAGCCTGGATAGGTTGAATTTACTTAAAAGATGGAGGAAACCGGTTGCCTCCAAAAAGTTAAGCAATTCGTAATGAAAACTTGAGTTCACGTAACTTAAAATGTAAAGTTATTATGCCTAAAAGGCACTTTTTTTGTTAGACCAATTGGCAACTGCCCAATAATTGTACTAAGTAAATACAGTTTATTTATTATTTAGAAGTAAATAAAGTTTTCTTTTTTGTTCAGTTTAACTTAAATATCGATTTATCGAAATATTAATGGAAAATAGACACACTGTAAGCCCAAATAAGTTCACAGACTTAAAAAAAAATTTAAGGTCACCCCTTGCCCTAAAAAATTAAGCATTGGTGAACGGAACAGCAAGTTTAAGTTCAATGTACTTAAGATACAAACTAACTTAAATTTTTGTGTTAGATTAACATAAACGCAGGTTTGTGCAACTCGTAATTCTAATTATTTTCATTTAAATAAAATCCCAGTTTAATTATGTTTCATTAGGTAATAAAGACACATTTTCTGATTAAGTGATATTGACCACTTTGCCAATCACTGAAAGGTTAAGCCTTAGTGTGAACATGGTCACCCATCAGCACTGACCCACACTCAGCAGCAAAGAGAGCAATAACTCGCCCTTTTAGCCAGCGACACAAGGTCAGGCGGCTGCGTATGCTTGAAAGGTAGACTTGGTGGAATTTTTTTTGAATGTGGTGGTTTCAAAGCTGAAATGGCGACAGACTGAACTAAATTGTAATAAGTTGATTCCACTCAAAAATGTATTTTCAGTGTATGAAATCATCAAAAACATTCCCTTAACTTAATATAGTTGAGTAATACAAGTGGGATGTATTTGGTTTTATGTACAACAGACTTAACTTATTTGTTTTAAAATGTGGGATTACAGTGTGAATGAAGAAGTGAAAGCATGGCATGACCTGTAAATGTGAAGCCTATTCATCTAAATGTATCGAATCTAACAGAATGTAACTTTTGCATCATTTAAGGTGGAAAGGAAAACTCGTTGGCACCAGGTTATAACTGCTGCACCGTTTAAGGTGGGATGAAAATATTAAACACGTTCAATGTCTGTAAAAGACACCATATGTTTTCCTTAAACCTTGTGACAGACATGTTAGTTTTAGTTTACCTTGTAGCAGTGTCACAGTGACTCTCTCAGTAGCGAGGCCAGGTGTAGAGCTGCTGCTGCTGTTGTTCTCCGTTCGTAACAACCCACTGATTAAGCTGCGTTTTCAGTCAGTGGTGTAACTAGGATTTACAAAAGGCTTAGAGTGATGGTTTTTCTCCCAAAATCGGTCCCACCTTTTGGAAATCAAAATGTGGTTGGTTGATTCTTCTGTCACTTCGTAATTATGCTGATAGTTTATCTAACGAGTTAGGATCCAAAGCATGTGAGCAGTGCAGAGTGGGAGCAGAGCGATGTGATTTTGCTTGGAGCGTCGAGCGGCTTTTCAGAAAGTTGGAGCGTTAATGTTCTCTCTCACTCCTAAATCGTTCCAGTATCACTCCATTCTGCCAGCCACACAGTCCTTTTTTTCTACACTGACTACATCCGCATGACATGAGTCCTGCTACAGCTTACACATGGCCATTCATACACAGCATCTGGCGCTGCGGAGCTGTTCAGCAGACCTACATACTGGAAATCCTCACCAACTGCAGCAAAGGTAGTCTTGTGTCGCCCATTTTGCTGCATGAATGATACAGACAATGGTGTTGAAGGCATGTGCATTTGTTTACGCTCAGCAATTTTCCAGCCTCTGATTGGGGCGTCACTTCTAGCCTGTGTATTCTGAAAAAAACCTGTGCAGCACAGAATGTTTAACTAGTTTTTAATTTAACAATGGCTAAAAATTATATAGTCAATGAAAAAAGTGTGCAGTTCTTGTCTATACATTCAAGACAAAATAAATTTCATAAGAATGAATCATATGGGAGCGGACGTGGAGCGGGGGTTGCTCAGACGTGTGTAGCTGTGTTTACATGCAAAGATTTTTGCCAAACCGATTGAATACATTCCGATTACAGATCTAGACTGAGGTGTTTATATGTACACTCTCCTCAACATTCTGATGAAAATTTCCACTTACATGCACGCTTCAAGTAATCAGATCCAAAATAACGTGCATGCATAGAGAACCACTTAGTGTAGACATTACCATGACAGCGAGCATCATGTGAGGTCCAGTCAGAGTGAGAGGAGTTTTCAGCTGGCGCTTGTGTTTTTTATTGCTTTAAAATTATGGCAGTAAAATGTACTTCACACATATTAAGGAAGCATGTTCTGAGACACATAAGCTGGACTTCAGTCCCACTGCCATTTTTTAAAGCTCAAAGCATAAACTTCGTCTCCTCTGCAGACCAGTTTCTGCTCCCGCCATGTTGAACGTTCTAAAATTTCGTTATGACATGAATGCACATGCGCAGAATGTACTTACTCGTTCCGATTGGGAACGTAATCGGATACAAGTGTTTACATGGCTATTATTTTTCTATTTAACAGATTATTTACAGGATTACCCACCTCGTTCAATTGGATAGAAATTGTATTCCGAATGGCCTCAATCGGACTAGTCTATTCCGATTGAGGTGTTTACATGGACGTGTTCTATTCCGACTGAGCTATTAGTCGGATTATTAATAGATTATTAGGCTGCATGTAAACGTGGCTACTGAGGAGTGAGAAATAGAAAATCCAAAGCGGAGTGATTACTGAAACACTTTGAGTGAGGAGCGGAAATGTCTGCCACTCCACTCTACTCACATGTTCTGGTGAGGACTGCTGTTCAGCTCTTAAAGTCCTAACCAATAAGAAATCTTGCTTAGCGTGATCTACCTAAGTAGCAGAGAGAAAAACAATTCCTTATTGGCCAGTTTTTAGCTGGGCATTTCAAGAATTTAACTCTTTTGTTTCCATCCACACCTTAACAATGAAACAAGAGTAGTACGGTAATACTGTAATACAGAGTTTAAATACACGCATGCGTCTATTGTA